CAATACAGTTCAATAGTTTTGCATATCATGACCAACATAATGTTGCTGTTACAATAAAACTCTCACATATAGTACAAATTTCAGCCATGTGGTACAGAAGGCAGCTTTTCATCCCAAAATGAATTTCAACAAACTGTATTACATCTATTCTGATTCTTTCACTAATTATGTTTTGGTGTTTACATTTTGAAGCTCAATAAATTATTATTAGTAGCAGCTTGCTACAATATGTATTTACATTATAGAAAAAATAAGCAAATTTTTCTTCAATATCACAATTGGAAAAACAATTCTGTCGCAAAAAGGCAAAAACAACATAGAAAACTTCTCTAAGATGTATAACAGCATTATATCTCTTCAATATACCTTAGTTCATAGTTCGGAAACTTGCCCATTCATAGCAATTATGAAATGAAATATCACGTGATGGCACGGAGCTTGTGGCGTTGTAATTCCCGATACGCCCCGAAATCCAGGAATTTTATGCGGGTTGAATGAAATAAGGACATTCCATTTGTGCGTTATCTTCAAATCCGGATCTATACTTTCGTATTGGTCTCCTTATTATTATTTTTTTTATTTTGATTTTGTTATTTAATTATACAATCAGTATTTCTAATTACAAGTAATTGGAAAGCTTTCAATAGTTAATATTTATTAGTTAAAATTTAAATATTACAGTTATTATTTTAGCTATTAATCCAATAATTATGTTTATCAATAGTGAAAGTAACAAGTGTATGAGAATTTCAATCGTATCATTTTAATATCTCTTATAGCTAGATTATAAACCTAGTCGTTTGGTTAGCTACAGGATTCAAACCGAAAATACTTAAATTTTCAAGATTTACCTGTGCTACATGTCATGGAATTCTATTGTTCTAACAATCCTTTAGCATCAACTAAGCAGTAATTTTTAAAGAACTTATGAGAACTTGAAATCCCGAAATCTAGTAACAGTTTTATATCTGCTGCCACCATTATGACAAGAGGAGAATCCAAGAGATATGAAAATAAATCGTACAGAGCACAAGAAAGGAAATTTAACCAAATCTAGAAAATAAAATGCCGACAGACAGATAAGCCAATCTCCGTTCAATATATTACCGGAGGTCCGCCTTTCCGAATTATGCGTTGAGGTAGAAAGATTGTACGAATATAAAAGAACCCAATGTGGTATCGAACACGATTGTTATATGACTTATGAAAGATTTATCTCAACTTTGCAATTCAATTTTTATTCAAATTAAATTCTTCGGTAATGAAAGTCAATCATTGAAATATATGGATGACGAATTAAAAAACCGCGTATACACTTTTTTTGGTGTGTATAAGCTGTACTAGAGTACAATAAATAAAATGATATACTTTGTAGAGTATCTATCAAAATATACATAATCAGCTGTGTTTCCGCGACCTTGCCTGCGTAAATTAGTGCCTCTGTTACCTGCGTATGATGAAGTTTCGGAGCTTAGTTTGGGAGCCTATTCAATGCAGGCAAACAAACAAACAAATCACGACATCTTCCATACCTCACATACAACTCCACTCATGTATCAATACAAGATAGTGTTATCCGTCGCGATTGTAGTGAATTCTATTTATTATATTTGATCGATATGGCATTCACAATGCTATACTGAAAAAATCATATTCTTAATGGAAAATGCTTAAAAAATCCACTCTGTCCCTACCATCCCATCTCAGAGTGCCAGATTTTTTTTAACTAAATATGATAATTTTAAATATCTTAAGTATGGAGTTAGTTTTAACAAATTAATTGAAAAGTTATAACTCCCCATACTTATTAAATACCTGTGATAACTGTACTGATTCAGGTTTTATAGAGTACTAGCTTTCGCCAGCGCCAGCGCCAGACATGCTTATAAGAAAAAATAATCTATTTATATATCTGAATCTTTCATTTAAATTGAGATACAAGATATTTATTTATGGTTACCTTTATTGACAATCGGTATATGTGATTATTCACATAAAATTGACGTTTCAAGTGTTTCATTCAGCACAATCGGCGTGACTATCGAGTTATTGGATCTCATTCCTCTATTGTCGTTTTTAATACACAGAATTTAATATATTGTATAACGAAACTTTTAATTTACCTTCTCATTTAAAAAGATTTCAAAGATTCTTTTGAGTTTAGAACCATTTCTTTTATTTTTTAATTAAGTTATTTTAGGGATGTACGTACCATTGTAAATTATCCGAAGCACGGAGTTACTCGAGATAATAACTTTTTGGTCACCCATCCCGTGACTGACCCTTGGGAAGGTTGCTTAACAACGATCGCTGAGCCACTAGTTTTTTGTATATTAATAGATAATTTTGTATATTATGCTGTAATGTATATTTTATTCGCTAAATAATTCATATACTTTACACGCGTTCATTATACTCGAACAACAAATAAAAACTGCTTAAAAAATTCGTTTTCAAAAAGCCTATGCGTAGTTTCATTCTTATTAACAACAACCTCGTTTAGTTTTTTAAATCTTCCATTAAAAGTAACTCACCGGTCTTCACCAAACAGTCGCAGATTCGAATTTCTAAAAGAGCGACTATCATTCTCACACATCGACCTGGCGAAGAATAGCCTCTCAAGTAATGGGACAATTGGGGACTAATGCGAAGCCGCATTCGGTGAGGATAAAGGGTATCCGCTTCTCGCCGAGGCTATCGTAGTGGGACACTCATATTTCTATGAGCCGCTAATCCTACCCACGCTACCTGCGTGGGTCTTATTACGGTCAGTTTACGCGGCATCAGCGAAATATGTTTTGGATTGCTGGAGCGTGATAAGGTGTAGTGTTTACAGATTTTATGGAAGCATTTGATAGAGTGCTATTTTTTTTTTCGATCAGAATTTTTAAAAACATTTCGGTATTATACCGATCTGAATCGTAATCGTCTACTGAATGTATTCTTGTAAACAGAAGTGCTCGTATTATTATCTCCACAATAAAAATATTATTTATTACAGTAAATAAAGTTCCCATATAAATATAAATATTAATCATGTCAAAATATAAACTTTATTTTTTTTTTTATTAGTACGAGTATTTTGAAAAATGTACAATACAATACAAAACTCTTTATTGTTAACACATTACACAATTGATGGATACAATTTTATAGTAAATTAACACTATCATGTAACAATAGGCGGCCTTATCGCTTAAAGCGATTTCTTCCAGGCAACTAGTGGATGGAGAGAGAGAGAGAGATAACATTAATAATGAAGATGGTGGTGTAAATGTTATAAATCATTGAGGCACACTTATGATTTATTTAACGTATCTAAATAAAATTATCGTACTAAATACACATACACATGTACAATGGATACATACGATACATAAATATATTCATTAACAACACATATATGAATGTATACAACTATTAATTTCGTAACAAGAAAAAGCGGCAATACGGCAGCAGTAAGTTATTTTATTGAGAGACTCTTAAACATAATTATAAATATTTGTCAAGGATTGCGCTCGCAAGAGAATTCCATAGACGAACAGCTTGTACGGTAAAAGACGAATCATAAAATGAGGTGTGATGAGATGGAATCGCAAGACTCAGGTTCTCTGATGATCGCAATAAATAAGAAATTGAGCAATGCAGAAAACTGAAACGATCTTTTAGAAATCGAGCAATGAAGCTTTTGTAAAAGTTGAGCTTAGAATTACACTATACTCTTATAACTGAACCGCATTGGCCATCGACGTGCTGTCAACATCATGTTTTGTATGAATTAACAACATTCTCTTTAATAATTTCTAAAGACACTAATTTGAAAATTATTTAATCATTAACTGACTTGTCTAAATTAGCATGAAAGACTATTATATTGTTTTGACACATTTCCCTTTAAATTTTACTTGGTGGAATATTGCCCGAGTAATTTTAGTTTAATAATTATTTCTTAAAAACAAAATTTGTTTCGATCGCTGTTGTCATATTTTTGGATAAGCAATTAAATTGTACGTTCGTAATCGTGAATTTTAATTTTTTTAAATTTTCAATATAAGTGTTTAAAACTGCCTTCAAAGAGATTTATTTCTAAAATAAATATACGGTAGAACTTAACTAGGTTTAGTGTAGCGACCTAATAATTGTTTACTGTTATGACTTCATACATCTTTTGGCGAGCGGCCATTTTAGGGTATATACCATTTCCTAGCCAGTTACTCTTTATTTCGCTGGGATAGAGAAAAATACGGTGCAAGTCTTGATAATGTTCGCGTGAATCACGACCGCGACAATCCGAGTCACAATTTATTTAACGTTCATATATCTTTTACTTACCCCAAGCTGCGTGGAACTTTCGATTGAGTGTCTCAAGAAAAATTATTAAAAAACTTTTTTTCTTTTTTGTGGTGTCAGGTCGAACAACGCTCTAGTGATAATCATTTCCGCCAAGTTTTCACGGCGAACGATATTCTCTTCGTATCTTAAACTGCTATTATAAAGGAAATTAGATTCTTTATAAAGTTAAATGCACGCCAAAATGTTGTGAATAGGACCTCTTTGCAGAATGAAGTGTTCTAAATATTTTTAAGAAAGGTTCTTTAGCATTCAATTCAGGTTATAAAAAAGGCGGAGCTATGCCTTATAAAAGTAAAGTGGGACCTTTTGTTTCGTGAAGACTAATTTCTTTAGTGAATTGAAGAACTTTCCATTCAATTTAGAAGTAAAGCTTGTTTCAGACTTGCTCGATCACTTTGGGATCGTTAATTTTAGTGATAATATAATTAGACAATGTCAAGTCGTGATTAATTAGCAAACAACTTTTATTTATGGTTTAAATATTCTTCGTTTTTGTATTCATTTGAAACACTGATGTTATTACATTGAAAAAAACATACAATTAAATTGTATCTTAACGGATATAGATAGTTAATCCGCTATGTTAAATTAAGATATTTAAAAGACTTGATCTGGTGAGTTTAATAAAGATATTGTTTTGTCCACAGTTGGGGGAAGGGGTGGAGCTGACATTGGGCGAGCTACGTGCGATGGCGCTCCGGCAGCAGCAGCAGATAGACACACAACACCAGCTGCTCTGCGCCAAGGAGCAGCGGCTACGGTACCTGAAGCAACAAGAGGCGCGACAACACCAGGTAACAATTATTATTATCTCTGTCCAGGGCCGGAATAGTCACGTAGCAAAAGTAGCAAATGCTACGAGCCCCGCGCAATTGGAGCCTCATTAAGGTTCAGAGCCGATAAAATATCTTTCAGTGTTAAATAATGCAAGAAATAAAATAAACCTCTAACTAGTCGTATTTTTAAGTATGAACATAAACTGGCAAATATAACTCCAGTCACAGATTAATTGTGTTGTGTTATTCGGAAAGGGAAAGAAGACTTTACTGTTTGCTACAAGCCCCGCTCTGACTTAATTCGGGACTGTCTCTATCTTTATCCCCGGTTAACTAAATTGAGCAATCACTCAAGATCTGATGCCTCAATATTTAAGAATCACATAAGGTGTTAATACGTTTATATTTTAATATATAATATATTAGCTAAGAACAGATTTGTGCGGTGTCTTCTATTTGAGTAATGTGACTAATCACATAATTCTCAAGGGTTAGAAAGAAAATGTTTATTTGCATTTTTTTAATACTAATTAAGCGTTTCCTATTAAAACTATGCTTTGTTCTAAGTTAGGGAAAATGACTGTTAGGTACATTTTTATTTTTATGATTTTGTCTTCGTAAATCTTCGTGAGTGTAATAGATTACAAACGGGTACTGGCAGACCGATGCATTAATTAGTGCGATTCAAGAATATAATAGGGCTATTTTCTTTTCAACAAGTTGTTGAACTTTGACCTAAAACATTGCAGTCCCAGCAAATTCTAAATCTAAATCCCCACGGGGACAAAGCGAAAGACAAATAACCGAATATAATCAAATATCTCGTAGGGATATTTCATTCTTCAAAAACGCTCCTATATTTTAAATCCAATAAGGATATCAGCAGACGTGGACACCTGCCCGCATCCAATCAGGCTCTTTGTGCAATTTATCTTGTCTTGTTCACACAGCTTTGTTTGATATTGAAATAGACTCAAATTTAATGATGCATTGCCTCTTTCATTCTGACTGTCCGAATACTTTGAATAAGAACAAGGAACTAGACTTTTAGTTCCTTGTTCTTATTCCTACAAATATTATAAAATTCAATTTTTTTTTTACGCCAGCGGCTTCGCCGTCCTGGTCCCTAGGGAATTATTTATTTGGACATCGATTTGGAGATCTAGCTTGGGATCTGAGTAAAATATGTGATATTCTTTAATACTTATTCCAATAAAGTCTTATTACCTAAGCTAATAATATTATATGATAAATACGCGTACAAACACGTAAGTCTTTGGAGCCCCTTACGCCTTCCTATTACCCCTTCCGCATCTTATTACATAATTATCGAGTTAAAGGCATTTGTAACATTTAAGCTATTCATCTCTCATATTAAAGAGGAGCCATTTTCTTTTAAAGTTACCTAAACTATTTCTTAAAACTTATTTTTAATTTATTATTGTATTGTTGCTTGATTAAAGGCAAAAGTATAGAAATTTAATTTCTGTAACTATAAAAAAGGGTAAGTTGCCATTAAATATCATATCATAAACATAGAAGTCTCTGATTAAAACTGATTTGCGTTAGTGCTAATTTATGACAAAAAAACACTACTTATGTAACGAAGAAACATATGGGACTCCAAATGAATCTTAACGATGCACAAACATTTGTTTTAAGGTTTCTCAAGTTCACGCAGCAACATTTCCTTTTTTTGGAGTAGGTCGGTACTGTTTAATTCTTATAATTTATTATGAAATAAATTACGTTAATTTTCATAGTCTTAACGTTTGCATCTTAGATATATAGATATTAATTCGGTTAATTTACCAATCATTAAGCCACCATGTTTGTCCAATATTTGCTATATTGGTTATGTAGCTCGAGATCATAAATGTTTGGTGAACACCCATCCTAAGACTGATCCTTGTGAAAGTTGCCCAACTTCTGCATCGCATCTGCGTTAAACAGTGCACAAACAATATTCTAGGTACTCAATATTATAATTAAACTGTGTTGTTTCTATTGTACTTTTAGAGTATTCTTCTTTTTTTTATTGTCAATTTTACTGCGGGCATCCCTATCTGTCAGTTAGCTGTCACTGTCACTTTGACATTGACGTTTTATCAGATTCGCGCCAATACACCTCTGGGTTGTCAATAAAATAATTGGAATCGACATTATGATTATAAATATATCAATTCTATAGTAAAATGTTATTATTAGAACGTAGGTACATATTAAACAAGATTTATCAATATCGCTCAGTAGCGTAGGCATCTGTAATCGAACTATTTACTGTTGTAAAATTATACATTTTAATATTCATATTAGATTCGCAGCTAATTTAAACGTTGAACTAAATTATTTCCATTATAAAACAAATAACGCGTAGTAGTTACGAGAATTCGGTTCTTTGAATTCAAAGTTGATTTTAGTTCAAATTAGTTTATAAGGAATTGTCAATTCTAAGCATTTAGGTCTTTAGTTTCAAAAGATCATGCTGAATGTGAGTATTTTGTTACTTTATTAATTTTAATAGGTTTACCAAGAATTTGCTTGACTCCTAGCGTCTAAAAATACCTTATGCTTAATTGAAGTTTGAAAATAGTTAAATGAATGATAATAAAGTTTGAATAATAAGTATTCGACGAACTCCTATAATTTGTAGTGAAAATAATATGTGTTATGTGAAACAACGTGTGGAATATTTTATTAAAACGTATGTACATTTGTATTACGACTTGATTTCGACTATAAGCAAGAACTAATGGTATTCGATGCATTTTAACTTATATTTACGAATGTTGCCTACAATAAAAAAGTTAAAGCCCTTTTTTTTCTCATAAATTCATTGAAATAAAATGAATTCTAAGTGACGTAATAAATATATTACAATACTTAATTGACAGTAAATATTTATATATTAGACAACATCACATTAAATTGCTCAGTTCCTAAACTATTAGGCTAAAATCTTTGTTATTTTATATAATACTATACTTGACCAAGAATCTACCCCTTAGATTGAATCACTGGGCAACGGAGTTCATATACGGAAACTATTTCAAATATGAATAATTTATATAAAATATCATCATCAGACCTTATAGGGACTTATGGTCCCCACTGTAGGGGTCCAGTCCTTTATTAAGGATGGTTAATTAGGATGGACCCTGACTCTCCACGCTGGCCCAATGCAGATTGGAGGTATTAACAGTTGCAAATACAGCCGGGATAAACGGCGAGACGTGTCTTCCGAAGAACGAATTAGCTCGAGATAATATTTTTTTGATCACCCATTCTTTGACCGACCCTTGCGAAAGTTGCTTAACAATAACAATCGAGGGCCGTGGCGCTTATATTCTACGCTACCGAGCTTATGTAATATATATTACTAGGTATTACTTTTTGATTGAACATAAAAAAAGGTACGCTCCGTCGTACAATATTATCAGAGAGAAAATATAAACAATGATATAACAAAAAATACATATATAGGTAGACAAACATTTGACAAGTCCAGACCCAATATATCTCCACAAGCATGAAATAACAGTTTGCCAAAATCTACTTATATTTAGGCATGCCGATTTGTATTCGATTCGATGGTTTTGTTACCGTAATGTTGTTACGATATCGATGGATACTGTCGATAATTATCATGATACTGTCAATATTGTGGTATTGAGAAAGAATTGATTTCTATTGAAATCGCCTTTGAACTATCCATTCTATAGTTTTTTGTTAAAAGATATATATTGGTAAATTAAATCATAAGTGGCTACGACCACTTATAGGACACAGATCTTTTCTCTTTTTTAAAACTGAGGGTCAACTCTACTACGAGATCAGTGCTGTCGCAGCACATAGCTTCAATTAAATAAAATTAAAAAAGTAGGTTTTATTTGTTTGACAGCTCTGACAGCGCTGTGCTAGTCGTCTGTTGTTTTATAATAGAATAACAATCATGGAGGCCTGACTGCTCTATCTGTTATATTTTATTTTCAAGATCAACTATCGAAACGGAACCATCGATATTGCAACAACACTATGTTGCCGTGCATGGTTGTATTATTTTTCAGCCTTCTCCAACTACAATTTGTAGACAGATTTATAGATAACTCCAACTTTATCATAATTTCGTATGCAATTACTCCGGGACTTTTTATTCAATTGTTTTACACCCCATCGGAATTGGATCCATTGATCATTTTGCCGGCCTACAGACGAAGGTATTTAGTTTCATTGTTTCAATAATTTCCCTTTTATGCTGTGTCGGAAATCAATTACTCTGTTAAGAGAGTTATTCAATTTACCGCTATAGATGTCGATTCAATATCAATATGATTTGATTGAATTTGTCGGATTGATTCTCTAGCAATTAAAATTGATGGAATATTCGCAATTCTGCCAATTAGAATTATATGTTCTATTATTGGATATCATCCTATCTATACCAAATAAAATAAACTAGGATTTGATTTACTGATTGTCTGTAATGGATAAGATAAAAATCTAGAACACATTTTTAAAATTCTTACTCTAATAAGAAAGACAAATATGAAATATTTTGTAAATAATAAGTTAGTGTTTGAGCCAAAAATTTTCTTGTATGTATAACTTAGATTTATGCAATATTGCATTGTCATATTAATATTGAATGAAGATGATCTGATGATGGAGCTGGAAAGTACCCAAGGAACTTATGTAATTAAACAAAGCAACCCAAACGACATTTCTCGTTTGATATGTCTTGACCAGAACTTTGGTCCGAGATAATTATCAAAAACTCTAAATGATGGCACTGGTAGGATTATTAAATTATGCAGTCTTTATTGTAATACAACAAGGGACGGACTAAATGCCGTCCGGCATTCTCTGCCAATCGACCAGTCACCCTCACTGGTCGATTGTCAGTAAACCATAGATTTCAAGAACATTGTCGAGTTTGGTCTCGTTCGATTTGCCTATGCTGTTGTTTTTTAAAATAAACTATTTATTTTTAATTGTATGTAATAAATAAATAAAAAAGT